TGAAGCATTGCAGTGAGAAGTTTAAGAGGAATAATTCTGACACTTGAAATGGGTATTAGTTGTCTTTACAAGTACGTAGCTTTTTGACTACATCATAGCCTTCCTGCATCGATTTCTCAGATTAGAGAAGATATAGGATAAACGGAAATCTCTTAGGTTATTCTACGTTCCCGTCACTCATGTTTCTTTTTTTAAAGAAGTACGCACATTTTGTCATTTCAACAAAACAGTCTACTAGATTTGCATTACTGATAAATAATTTGTTTTTTTTTCCACAATACTTTATTATTAATTCCATCTTTTTGGGTTGGGAAATGGCTTCACAAAACTTGACAGCACCATTAATTTTTAGCTTTACATATCATATATGAACCAAGTTGAACTCGTAAACAAATAAGTTTCGATGAAAAATTTTTGCTTAAAAAGCATAGGCTTAAATATTGTTTCTTTATACTAGTGGAAAGTTGCCAAGATAAAGTAGATTGCAATTAAGAACACTCATGAATTGTACAACTTTCTACATTTAGCTGCATGTAAACAGCATGAAAGATTATGTTGTTCTACACCTCGCATTGTAGCGGTTTTTGATTTTCACCAATAATTGGAAGTCGCTATGACTTGTCGACTTGCATAATCGGGTTAAATGCATGTTTGGGAACTTAGAAGTATAAATTCTTAAAGCACATATAGAGATTAGGCAAGTTCTGTTTCTCCACTGCAATATAGATGGCTCACTTAATATTGCAATCGTTCTTTCTCAGCATCAAAGGATAATAGATTTATGAGTTTTTTGCATTTATTTGTTAAAATACCCTCTTTTAAGTTAATATCAGACCTTCTTGTACAGGAATATCAAGTCACAGTATTCAAAATTTAAAATTCTAATGGCTAGAAAAAAAATTGTTTGTCTCAGTTCTTAAATATGTCTTAACATCGGATACACAAGCCGATGAGTCGTACAGATTTGAAATCATTAATAAAAATCAAATTCACCATATCATCAGGCGTAGAATAATATAATCTTTCATATTGTGTATGTTGTAAAAGACTTCTACGACGTGACAGATTTCTGATCTTATTGTACGAAATCTTCTACGATAAATTGAACCCAAACAGCTCGGACATATCAATCGAAAATGTTTGCTTCAACTATTAATAATTTTATTATGAAATAAGTTAAACTGTAGGCGCTTGTCGTAGTATAAATGAATCTATATAGTTCAATCATTTCTTAATAGAATTCTATTGAATTTAGATTGTGCTTATTGACATGCATATGATGTTCATCAATGGCGACTCATTTAAAATCAAAACGTTCCTCAACGCATCAACAATGAATAAGGGGCCTGATCTAACAGTAGTAAATTGATTTATATAGTTCGAACTCATCACTAGCGTCTATTTTGAAAAAATGAAATCCTTGTCGTATATTGACGCTAATATTTGAATTCTAGATAGATAATTTATTACTTCTCTAGAATTTAAAGAATTATTTTAATCTGTTTACTTGTTTAAAAATTAACTTTTTTGTTAGTGGCTTGAACATTTTCTTGGATTTAAACTTTGACTTACATTCACTGTTCATTTCATGTTCATTAAATCAACAACATGGTAGGCATCGATGCACGAAATAAACATAGTCTTGATAGGAAGTATATTTGTCCTGTGTGTTCATTGATACTACGAGATCCTGTACAACTGACTAAGTGTGGCCATCGACAATGTCAAACATGTTTAAATGTTCAACAACAGTAAATTTCATCATCGATTTGAAGTATTATTATTCATTTTTCTTCTTCAAGAATGACGATTAAGTGTCGACGATGTCAATCAAAAACCTTACCAAGCGATGTAAAAAATATCTTTTCATAATTATATTGAAAATAAATTCCTTTTGTATAGATGCTACTTGATCGAGGCTTCAAAATTGACATGAAATCACTACCCATTGATTGTTCTTTTTGTCAATGGACTGATGTCTTAAGTAACTATCAAGTAATTTATGATATATTTATTTTATTTAAGAATCTATTGTCGTTTTCTTTTTAAGGAACATATTGATCAATCCCATTCATATCTCAGATGCGAATATTGTGACGAAGAGTTCAACTCAGTTAACAAATTCAATCAACATAAAGTCTTCGAATGTCAGCAAATCATTGTTGATTGTATATTGAAAGACTTTGGTTGTCCTGGGCGAGTATGAATATTCTATAAATAAAGCTGACAATAGGAATATGTATGTTCTTTAGATTATTCGTGCCAAAATACAAGATCATTATTTGACTGAACAACATCAACATGCCATACTCAATGTTGTTCGGCAAATGTTATTACAATGGAACGATAGACAAATGGATATTGATCTTCCTCGAACAACAACTGCAGAAGCTTATAATCCTGCTACAGCTCCAATGGAAGAGCTTCAGGAAATGCTCAATATCTTAATAACTGGTATCGAAACATTGACCAATGATAACCAACGTCTAACCAATGAGTCCCTACAAATGCAAATGACACTTTCAACATTGACAGAAAAGCCATCGAAAGTTAAATTATTCATTGAAGAATCAAATGCTTTTATAGAAGGAGTCAAACATAATCAAGCCATTCTTAATCAAGATTTTTCATCATTGCAAGAGAAAGTCAACGATTTGCAATATGTTTCATATGATGGAACATTAGTTTGGAAAATAACAAAATTTCGAGAGAAAATGAGTAAGATGATCAATTACTTTATGTTCAATGATAAAATAGAATATCTAATCGAAAAGAAAATTAAAGAATGACATATTATGCGGTTTCTATAATATGAGTAATCTGTTGACGAATTGATGAAATATGTCATCGACGCTGCTGCTCCCTTGAATGTGTTTAGATAAGTTTCTACTCTTCTTCACGTATTTATTTTTTGTTTAATTCCTAGTTGATGCACAGTCTGAAAGACAAACATCAATTTATTCTCCTCCATTTTATTCATCTCCAAATGGGTATAAAATGAGAGCACGTCTTTACTTAAATGGTGATGGAAATGCTCGTCGTACACATATGTCACTCTTTTTTGTACTCATGAGAGGTTTAAATGATCCAATTCTCAAATTTCCATTCAACTATAAAGTTACATTTTGTTTGTACGATCAAACTCCTCAACAACGACATATTATCGATTCATTTCAACCAGATATTAAATCGAATAGTTTTCAGCGACCTCGATCGGATATGAATATAGCTAGTGGTATACCGAAATTTTTCCCATTGGAAATGATTCAACAGGAAGGAAATCCGTATGTCAGAGACGACACAATGTTTATCAAAATTATGGTTAATTTTGAAGAAACACCCAAAACATTATTACCCTATGCTTTAAGTCTCAATCCAGGTCTACCCATGCATATTCAACAAGCAATGATCAAGCAAGAGGCTGAGCGAAGAACACAATTAAGAACTAACGAGCAATAGTAGATATCTCAAGGATAATCTACCATTTAATTTATCTAAAGTATTGAAGCAATAATTAAGAGCACCTTCTTTTCAAGTTATAAATTTATTTGCAAATTTATAATATAAACCAGATGTTATTTTAAGCTTTACATAGTTTTTGATAATCATGCAAAGCTTATCAATCTTCGGTAACAGATGAAGTCATTTCATTGTCTGATAACAGAAAATTGTACTAACAGGAAACTAAGTTTTAAAAAAATACTATTCAGATAGTTTTTCGAAAAATTTTTGAACCATTAATAAATAAATATAATTCGTTCGCCTTTATTTGAGGAAAAATACTGATTTCGGAACGAAATTTCTATACTTCTTTTCTGAAAAGAATGTAGGTTGTGGGTGTGGATATATATCAAGAATAGTCACATCCACACTTCACCCTCAGATGTTGTCGTATCGACTGTATGCATTTGTTTTGATATATCATTGCAAAAGAAAGTCTGGCGTTGTCAAGTCCCATGATTATGAAGTCCATAAGATTGCTTTAACTTTTCAAACGGGAACCCGTGAGCTGGAAGATGTGATTTGATCTCATTAGCTGCGTGACCATTGAACTTGATACCATTAGATTTCCTTTCGCAATGATATATCAAAACAAATGTATAGAAATGATACCAAAAGATTTAGTCAAGGAAGTGATGAATTAATGAGATACTTGAACCATACATGCAACTTGATGAGATCATTGGAACGAACATAATATCTCTGGAGGAATGGGTGCTGATGTGATACTCTTCTTGTGAACACACAGTTTATGTAATATTATCATAGGAGATAGCGAATTGTTTCTACTACAGTTCATCTACAGAAGACAGTATGTCCTATTGAGGTTCTTTTTTATTAGATCATTTTTGTTGCAATCTTCTAAAGACAATTCATTGGAGAATCTTGTCTTGAGTTAGACAATATGAAATGTATTTATTCAATGACAATTGTTCACGGATATATATGAAAAACTACAATCAGACTGCATTATTTGAAAAGAATGTATAAAAACGTGTCAATGTCTTTGTTATTCTAACAAATATTCGTAATAATGTTATATAATCCAAGACTTGATCCAGAAGATAATTTGAGAATCATATTACCGAAATTATCGAATGCTATTCGTTGACTCGTATAATAATAATAATAGCCCCAAACTGTGGTATTGAAAATTGTGGTCAAATAAGTCGTTCCTGGAGCCCATCTTTGCAGAGTAGATCCAATAACGTATACACTTCCAGCACTGTCAACTGTTAAACCGTTACTTCCGTAATAATACATACTGGATGAGCTAGTACTGAACAAATGTACACCATAACGGTTGCCTGCCAAGAACATCAATACTCGACTAAAATCAAGATTTATTATCAAGGAAACAATGAGAAATTTATCTGTTATGCTGAATTTCAATTTCAAATAATATCCACAGTAAAAACAAGCAAATTAAACAATTTTCTATTTTTCAACAAGATCAAATAAAATATTGACTATTCAAACTATTATTCATAGGTGATTTCTTACTTGTTTCCTGAATCTACAACAAATAAAGTACGATTGGTGTCAATGAAGATTCCTTGAGGACTGTTGAGTTGATCCAATTGTGATCCTGATGAATTTGTTGTGCCCGCTATCACTCTTACTTGAGGATCAGTTGGTGTTATATTGATAACAATGTGATACAATGAATCTGAACAATAGATCGCATTTCTCCGATCAATAAATAGATCAGCACAACCACAAAATCCATATGGTGGTGTGCCGCAAGCAGTTTCTCCAAAGATAGTCGTACCGAATAATGAACTATTCGAATCATATTTTTGAATTCGATAGTATGTTGTAGATGGGTACACACTTGAATCAGTCTAAAAAAAAAGTCAAAATTAATTTGTAGAGTTTATTTTTTGAACATGAATGAATAGTATGGTGCTCGAAACTGATGACTATTATCATATTATTGAAACTAAAACCTTCAATTTTTTTTTGAATCAAAAACTGTGGGTTTCAAGAGTTAAAAGAGGATTTTCATGAAAATAAGTTCAAGTTTATGACTAGAAAGATAAAGTGTCTGAGTATAGTTCAGTCAATGAAAAAAAAGATTGAAGTTCATAGCGCTTTAAACGATTGATCGATTGATGTATGATAAGTTGAATTTCTAACCGGTTTTGCTAGTGTCATCTCATGAAATAATCTCGTTTGACAGTTTTTACCTAATGCTCACTTTACTCTTCAACTGTAAGCTCTCAAATACTGATTTCTTTTTTCACCGATTGATAACTATAACGAGTCGATAAAATAAGTCAAGTTTTGCCTTGAACATCTAACAATGAAAACATTTATGCACAACACAAAATAAAAAATTTCGTCTGACATCTAGTATGAAAATCGAGTTTCTGAGATTTGTTTTGTACTTGTCTTCTGACGATAGATGTTTGCTTGTTTTTTGAGTACTTTGTAGCGCTGTCTCTTAGCTTTCATTCAAGACCAACTCCAATATTTGCAGTCGATCCGATCGTGCTATGCATTGTTTTTAATCTCGTGATAGAGACAATGAAAGCATGATCGTGTTTCTGTTCTTTTTTAAGAAAAACGCCCATGAGAGTGGATGAAAGTGGCAGTCAGCGATCTATTCTGAAAAGCCAGAGTGTCTACTATATGTTGGCTCAATAATGAACGTAAATGTAGCCTATATCTTCAGATCCCATTGACAAAAAATGCTCCATGATTGGTTTATTTCAAGTAAAGAAATTTCCTTTTTACGCATCGGATTCACACGGTATCATAGAACTGCATATCGCGCAAATACATACTCGATATTCACACGTATAAACGGTGCCATTCGTGTCAACAGTCATGCGTTGAAATGTGTATGAACTAAAACTACCACTACCCATAAAAAAGGCTACATCCAAACCTCCTGGTTTATATTTAATGATATGATTCGCCGAGCTATTCGCAACATAGATACTACCGCTGGCATCTACGAAATAATCAACTATCATATTGTAGTACATATAGCTCGTTGAATTGAAGAGTGTTATATAATTTTGATTCCATGTAGCATTCGGACATAGACGAGTTTGTGTTGCGGAACCTTTAAAAGTGATCAAATGAAGTAAACAAAAAATGATAAATTTAAAAATAAATGTGTTTCATTACCTATGCCCGTTGAAGTAGATTGATCGCAAAGATTAGCCAATGCTAATGGCATACAAATAGGTACTGGACAACAACTATTAACAACACATGTCGTTAAATTCGATGCACAACGTGTGCCATTGATGCATGCATCGAATAAACGGCATGTTCCTTGCGGTACACATATAGTTCCATTTGTTGAAGTACGTAATTTGTAACACGTTGGGATTGAAGAACAACCGCTACCAGAACTTACCGGCCATGTAAAACTATTGGTACATAATGGAACCGAACATGTGGCCTGATATTGTACCATTTGGCCTAATCAATTCGAAAATATTTAATGAAAATAAATACGTAACGAACTGATACCGATTACCTTGCACTCGAACTGATGAACAGATGAAATATATGAAAAACAAGTTGAGTATCATTCTGGTTCGAAATGATTCATATCAAGACATGTTCGTCAATAAATATACGAGGCAAAACAATCGTCGATGATCATGATGCTTGATTTGACACTGTCTACTATATAACATAGTCGTTAAATATGATGAAAGCCTGGCTTTTCTAGATGCACGACTTCATTCAATATTTTCGAAACATTTTTCCTCTAGTATATGAAAACAAGTATTGATAAATCGAGCGAACAACTCAAGTATGTACGCTTGAAATGAAATTCAGAATTAGCTTTCGGACAAGTATAAGCTGAAATATGTGCATCATCAATGCACTAATTCATTCAAAATACAAGTAATTGACACCAATATCATGGCTGAAATTTGTTCTGAGGTTTGTTTCGCTCGTCAATGACGTTGTTTTTGCTTTGTAGCAAGCTTTCGCCTAAAAAAATAGTCCGTTTCATCGAAAAACTATGGTCTGAAAAGTTATGCCCGAGTCTCTATAGTTCACAATTAAAATTTAGACTCAAGATATTCAGCTGCTCATGAATTACTATAACATACAAGTTCAAAAAAAAAGAGGCATCTGTGTAACAACGATTTTTCCTCCAGATATTATGATAAATCGCTCTGGCCAATCGTGTGGGAATCATTTTTTTTAGTTTGTTTTTTTTCAGTAGATTAATGAGATAAAGCCGGCAACGGCTAAAATTTTTAATAGTCATCAAAGCCAGATGGTCCTACAAACCGTTCATTTAATCATTAGAATTATATGTTCCCTCGTCAAATACTTTTGAAAGTAAACTACATGACGATAACAAGTCGATTATGAGTTATAACTGGAACAGGCCTTTTTGTGCATTCGTTTGTCAAATATCAAACCATATATGTGACTACATGGGTCTTTCTCTTCTGTTTTCAACACATATATTCTATCTATATTGAAAGCAAAATCTTTGAAGTAGTATAATCAATGGTATTAATCATGAGTTTCATAGTCATATTTATCTGAATTCAGTCAGTATCTCAAGGGACACCTACTCTTTCAATCGCCAGCGAAACGCCTGTGTCTTTCATGGTATTTTCTTGACAGAAATACTCTAAAAAAATTTGGTTATCTTTTCAAATGTAAGTAACTTGATTAGGAAATGATAAAAGCTAAATAAATTTTCATGGCTAATGGCAACAGTTATTGTGCAATTATACGATGCTTAGGTTTTTGGATAAGTAATATTTCTTTATATAAAAAATTTAGAAAACTAAAACTTACGATTGGCATACGTGTTTAGTATTTCTCAGATGCATCTCTGTACCTTAGAGGTGTCTCCAGGGGAAAAAAGTTATTCTTTGTGAATGTGAGTATACACATTATTTTTCTTCTACATTTACACTCCACATCAGTAAATAGAACACTGTGCAACGAATTCTCAAAATAAGCATAATGTTTCAAGCTTTCGTTGAATTCGTTCGGATTCTTTTTGTCGCCAATGGCCTATTGGGTGTATCTCTGCGTATTACCTATTGAAAAACGAACACTTATAGCAATAACAAATCATTTTCGATCAGCATAAACACACAAAAAATTCTTCTCTAAGGTTCAACCTGTAGAATCGATCGTTGATGTCTTTCCTAGAATCAATAGCTCTGTTTTCTAACAAAAAAGAAACAACACGATCGCATAATTTCTTCTCGATAGAAAAAGCAAAATTGTTTTTTGTTAAATTTACTGGTGGCATTGCATGTTTGATTTTGCACTCGAATACACAAACATAGAGAAAGTTATGATCGAATAAAGCATGGAAGAAGGATTCGACTTAATCCGCGATTAATTGCTTATCGAATAGAAAATCAATACGGGTATAAAAATAAAGCCATCCGAGTAAAGACCAATAACAGTATGATTCGAAACGATGTTGTCTTTATTTCGTACATATTCATCGTCTCACTGGTGATTTCGACTATCGATGGTCGTTTATGCATGTGTACTTGTTGTAATCCTTCAATGGGCGAAAAGTCTGGATGCATCATAGACATTGGCGATAATGGTATGATTATGGACTGTCGCACAAGCTGCTCGAAACAATGTCCACAACAATGTCCTGTGAATGGACCTACAGGGACAATAATTGGAGACTCCATTAATGGCAAGAAAAATGTATCGTCTGCTTGTCAAATTTCGAATTAAATCAAGAACGACTCGAAAAATTATCTCAATCCTTAAACTATAAGACGATAATAATAGTTTTTATTTCAGAAAATAAATTATGTCTTTTTCATAAATAAACAGTCTATCGTCATATATGCTATACGAATAGTAGAGACGAGTGAACGAAGTTCAAACTATTTCTTTCATTTTGAACCTTCTCGTAGAGGTCTTAAGAAAAGTCACTAATATAATAAATTTATAAATAAAATATTAGCCTTGTTAATATATCAATGAGGTAGATTAGTTTTTCTCAGGTGAATTCTGCTTCTTTCTATGATATTGATTCTTACTAATCGATGCTTTTCTGATTGTTTTCAAGACTCTAGTATGCCATCGAATGGAATGCTTCATGAAAGTGCTGCAGCTTCCGTTGCAATTCAAATAAGAGTTCTATTCGATAGAAATGAAACACGAACCTATGAATTGATGCTCACTAGAATGAATGATACCATGCCAAAAACGCAATCACAATTAGAACTGCGACGATAGGAAACGCATGTCTCACAATAGTAGTACTGAATGAAAGTATTATCAGGAGAACACTCGACCATATGCGTTCAATGAAGAATTTCCTTTATTAGCGATGATACAAGAAGGACAAGGTCATCAATGAATTCATAATCGTATAACGTAGCGTTAAGAAAGCTATGCATATAAAGGACAAAGTTCTAGTTGTGTAACTCTCACTCTATTGAAAACATATATCTGGATCCACTCATTTCAACATTAGAAGTTAATTAAAATTTTTACTACAAAATTAACTTTTTCAGCACATGATTAGCGCGTATGTAAAAAAAATTCAAAGCTAATATCAAATCAACATTATAAATAGAGTAAAAGAAATGCTATTCATAACTGAAAAAAACAACTTTTCTATTGAAGTTTTCTGAAACAAAATCAGAGCGCATAGTATACAAGTCTAGTTTATCTAACTTTTCTTTATTAAAGTGAAAAATAATGGCATGACTTAAAAGAACCATCCATTCAAAAATACAGTATACTTAGTTGTAAGTTGAATTACTTTCGAAGGAAAGTAGCTCTAGAGAGCCGTGATTTTCATTTCATAAGGAAAACCAATAACTGTATTAAATTATGTAAAATATACTTGATCATTGAGTGCTATGATAATCATTCAATGATGAAAAGTTTTTTCGAAGAATGACGCTTCACAAATTTCTATTGCCCTTTCATTTATGATTCCTCGAGATTATCCATTAGACCGTTCTCTTTGATTCAGAGTATACCTTTCAAAATTTTCTTCTATTCTTCTAAGATACTAGAAGTAAAATATGTGTACAAACTCAAGCAACCTCAAAGACTATTGATCGATTCAGAATCACTTCAAACAGACGTAATAGAGCATACTGAGTATTGTGGCAATATTTATTTTCCTCGACTTATATGCTTGATTTTGTAGAATGTTGAGATTCAGCCTTTTAGGGTTCGGTATTATGTGTTTGTTTCATTTATGAACTGAATTTGGTATATCGTTTTGAATGTATCCTAAAAGTTTGAGCTCGAACAATATACCAATGAGACTCATAAAAGTCTCATTATACTCTTATCACACTATTGAAATCGATTTTTTCATGAACTACTCTTACAAACTCAAGAATATAACTCGAAGATTCTAGAACTACTTTCTTTCTGGAGCAATTCAACTCACAAACAAGTACACTGTAATTTTGAATGGATAGTATAGTTTTGTTATGTTACATCTAAGATATGTATTTATTCTAATCATAAAACCAAAAGATCTTTCAGCTTTAGCCCTTGTTTATGAAGACAGTCAAGTATGAACGTATTCGTGTGGTAAATTCATAGTACATATATCATCAGTTAAATTAATTGACGATATGTTTAAACTTACTGCATTCTCGAACATAGTACGAAGAAGGATAGTGAGCAAACGAAGAAAGTCGAATAAGGAACGCATATGTATAATGTGTTAAACGCTGTTTTCACCGTGCGAAAAAAAGCACTTTGGGCGCATCGAAGTGTCAATAATTTAATTGTCGATCTTCGGCATAGACGAATATAGATGAGAGCAAATCATCTTGTCCAGTCATCAATGTAAATTCGACCGAATATTCGTCGATAGGAATTTCGACAAGACGTAATTAGTAAACGAAATATTATATTAAAAAATATAACTACTTTTAATTGGTAAGCAAATTATATTGATTGGTATATATCAAATGATAAATCGACACTCTATTTAGAGCACAAAATAAAAAAGAAAAAAACAAAAGATGTAGGTATAATCGTATGCAGTTTTCGAGTGCTCAAAATCCGATGACTATGAAGACGCTCAAAATTGAAACAGAATGAACACAAAGTAGATATTTAAAATTTTTGATTTCCCTTCATGCTCATCGTATGCTTTTTAAAGTTTGTTTGAGAAGGAGCAAACCGTTCGAATTGTTGGCTTTGATGAAAAATTAGTGACACGAAAAATTATTGATGAGTCATTCTAAACTATTATTGTCTTTGATAAGATTTCTACGTTGCTAATATTTTTCTTCAAAAATTATTTATATAATATGTATTTATTAAACTTGAAAACGACTATCTAACATGATTAATAATATATTTTTTTGCTTTCGTATATATAGTTAGATTGTCATGTAAAATAATATATCAACTGTTTTGATAAGAGAACAACTCTGAGGTTTCTGTTATCAAACATTAAAAAAAAAAGAATAAATAGTAGATAAAGTTTTGAAGATATATAAGACAAACATAATTTTCAACTTCAAACCATATTTAACGTTAAGAATTTTAAAAGCTTCGACTTTTACAAGTGTATAATTTAAAAATTTATTATATAATCATTCGAGAACAATGAAAAAATTCTTGATCATCATTATTTTGTTAATGATTATATCAATTTGTAAATCAAAGCAAGAAGATCAACATGTAATTCATGCTTTATTTGGTGATAGAACCCAAAATGATATTGTTTATTATGGATTTGTTGATCTAGATAAATCTGAATACAATATAATAAATACATTAAAAGTTAATGATGTTGGAAATCCTCGAAAACGAAAATATCAAATTTTACCATCAGCATATGATCCTTCAAATGATATTGTATTTATGTCAGCTATAAATGATCAAAACAAAATAATATTAAGTTTAATTAATGCTACAACTGGTATTCTTTTACATACATTTGATTCAATTCCTAATGAAATTATTTCTCTTCAATATGATATATTCAATAAAAAATTATTTGCACATACTGAAACTAATGATAAAAATTTAACACAAATTGTAGAAATCGATACAAATACTGGAAATTTTAAAGATATTTTAGGACAAATATCTGGAGCTAGACCAACTGATATGTCAACTTATTGTCCAATATGTAAAAAATATTTTCTTATCATGTTTGAAAATAATCACTATACATATGTTGCTGTTAATACTACCGATGGTGGCGGAATTAGTTGGAGAGTACCATTAAATTTTTCTCCTCTTAGTATCAGATTTACTTATAAAACATTTTTAATGTATTCTGTCTATATAAATCGAACACATGAAACAACTTCACAAATTGGCATAATAGACAGAACAACAGGAAGTATTGGAAAAGTAGTTGGAACTATTTCTAATCAAACCAATTTATTAGTTACTCGATTGTCAGCATTTGATATAGCTAATAGTTTATATTATACATCAGATATAATGATTAGACCTTTTTCTAATGGAATATCTTATGTGAATGTGAATACATCAGAAACGAATAGAATTTCTTTACCAAAAACCAACTACAACTTCTATGCATGGTTTATTAAACAATTTGTTCAATAAAACAAAACTTAAGTGATTATTTTTTCTTTAGAAATTTTTTGGTATCACGACTAAAATATATCTTTTTTTTCAATGATTTATATCGATGTAATTACATTTGAATTTTAAATGAAGAAAAAAGTCTAACTCGAATAAATGAAAGTGAAAGACTTTTTTTAAGCTTTAACTATATAGTAGAATATAAAAGTATACTCATGCGCAGAGCCCGTCCATCAGTGGGCGAGAGAGTGATTTGTGTGACCAAAATACAGAGAGATATTCGATATCTAGCCATTGCATCAATCAAATCAGATCTAATAAGTAAACATTTTTCTTTGGTACAAAGAAAATTACTAAAACGAAGAAATACACTCGAAAAAATTCATGATCTATTAGATATCTCAAATAAAAAGATACTGATCATATTAAAACCTCAAAACACCATTATGAATAAAAAGAAAATACACTCTTATCAAGAAAAAAAGGGTCTGGATGTCGCATTGGTGTGGATGTGTGGATTTTAATAGAAAATAGATGATACAACTGCACGCGCACTCAAAGAAAGCTGAATGTATGGTTTTGTAATCGTATACAATGCAGATATTGAACATCGGATGGATCTACCACAAATGTTGACCGATAGTGACTTTATGAGAGGTGCCTTGTTATACAAAAAACAACGAGGTAAGACTAATTTGGCAATATTTTTTTGGAGAAATTAATGCTATTTAGTTATTTCTCCTAAAATCGTATGCCAATTTCGATGAAACTATTATTTTGAAAATATGAAACAGCTAAAGCTATTGCGTAAATTTTATCAATACAATATTTCAATCAAAGACAATCGATCAGGTCTTCGTTGTGTGATTACTCAATGATTTAAAAAATCAAAAAGCTTTCATTATCAGAAATACCATTTTTTCATGCGGTTCACATAAATTCACAAAAATCATTAATTTTTTTTTATTTTTTAAATCACTGGGTTAAGCAATGGGAAGGCGAACACAATTATATGATCGTTGAATTCAAGCAAACCCATTTAAGTGACAATACCGACAAAGATAAACTTACGCGTCAAAATACCGTCAGACAGAGTGAGATGTAGGTGTGGGTATGAAGGTATGAATGTGAAGGCATGGGTGTAAGTGTGTATCAAGAGTAGTCACATCCATACCCACCCATCCTTTAGAAGGTTTTGGATGGCTACTTCTGTTTCGTTTGCTCATGTGAAAGTGACAAATCGCACAAACGTTTTTAGATCTGATCAAGTCGGTAGTCATGAGTGGATGTTGGATCTTTATGTAGATAATTTGAACTTGATCTCTTCTACATTCAGGAAAGGTTTTTGTAAAAACTTTTGGAAAAGTATTGTTTCTTCTAGATTGTTCTCAAATCGATGCACAAATATGAACTTCGAATTCAAATTGTGCAACGTCAATCTTTGAGTCAAGAAAATCTGCTCGTTCACTCGAAAACATTTCCTATAGTCTCATTCATGACCTCGTTACCGCTTATCAAAATGAGAGAGTAATTGCTACACATTCTTATTGACTATGACTTCAACATCGTCTATTTCTCATTGTTCATTTTTAGATTACGGAACTCAAGATCAAACATAAACTATTTTCTCAAGTTTTCTAGACTATACAATCGATCGCGAACAAGAGCGTTCTCAAATACTGCCACTCTTCTTTGTCTTGATAGAAAATTGACCTTTGTTCGGTTACTTCAATAAATAACACTGAAGTTCTAATTTCTCGAAAATGTTTTGATTGAGAGTAAATGATTTAAGTTATAAAACATCTATATAGATAGACAGTATCTACTTCTGTAGTACATCTTATAGCCGGCATCTCATACTACTTATATCACTATTTGAATCAGATCAGTACCTTTTAATGTAAAAGAAAAATTGTAAAAAAAAAAAAACAAAATTCACTTAAACTTTTGTCGTTGACATTTTTATTCATCTTCGTTTATATTGATATTATACAACGAGATAAACATATGTCAAATCTATCATTGATCGATATTAATACATTTTCTTTTTAATGAAAACAATAAGATCAATTTTATTTTTAAATACAATGTTGGATTAGTACATAAGTTTTGCACGATTTTTTTTTAAAGCATATTTGAGGCTTTAGATCTTTTTCCTCACGAGATATAATCCATCAAGTTTGCCTAAAAAAACAACCATGCAGAACTTATGTATCAATTCAATATATTTTAAAAATCAATTAGAAAAAAGATATTTTTTGATTTTTCATCATTTTTGTAGAACAAATCATTTTAAGTATTTTGCTTAGAAACTGAAGACTTTGAGAAAACGACTGGAATATTTGATTTTAATAAACGAAAAATTTTATACCGGTCTTTCGATATTTTGATATCACTGTTTGAAATTTCTTTTTGTCGATTTATCCAAACTTGAATATACGATGGATCACTTCGATCTCTAATGATTGAATGTATTGATAAAAAATGATTTTGCAACCATTTTACAAGTTCATCATTTTCAAGTAAAAAATTTTGATGATCACCTTTACATTTAAATATTAACAATCGAAGATTTGACATTTTTTTAATGAAATGAAGAACATTAATTCGATTGTTAATACGAATAAAAAGAACTTCACATTGAAGTCCAAGAGGTGAATCAATTAATTTGTTACAATCTTCATCATTAAAATAATCTAAACCATTTAAAGAAGATTTTGTGAGATCAAGTCGATAAATTGTTTTACTTATTAAACGAAATAATGCATGATTTAATGTTTGATCAGATATAAGTTTCAATGAATAGAGATTAAGTGTTTGATTAAGTAATTCTTGTAATTGATAATAATCAGAATTTGTAGAGATGAATACTTCGAGTGATATTAAAATATTTAATGATTGAAAACAATGAAAAAAATTTCTATCAAAAGGTATATTAATACTTAGATGTCGAATGTAAGAAAAACGAGTATTGAAAAAATTCTGACTATCAAATGAATTTATGTTATTTATTTTATTTTGATAGACAGATCGAACATGATCATACGATCGATATTCATCTTCATTAAGACAAGTAGATTTAGAGCAATACTCATTTGAATAATACATAGTATTGAAAGCATAAGGTAACGTGTAAAGTGTTATTAATTTTGTAGGATCATATGGATTCCAATCACATCGAACAAACCATTGATGTTTTTTAAGCCAAAATGTACTTCGAAATGTATTGAGTATTTGATCAATTTGTTCTTCTTTGTCTATATGAAGAGAAAATTCAATACTTATTTTTAATCGAAATATTTTGATTTTAGGTAAATAATTAATTATAATATGTTCCCATTCATTTCCATCTAAATACATATTTGATATTTCAATTGTTAAATAATATAAATTAGGCATTTTTTCTAAAATATTCTTTATTGAATCCAGAAAAATTTCAAAAGAAATTTCTAATGAAATCATAGAAGGAATTGAATATTCGAGATGTTCACTTACAGAATAAGATCTAATAGTTGAACAAAGATATTGAAGATTTGGAGTATATTCAAATAAACCAGACAGAAATTGTAAGTTGCATTTAATATTCTTAATAGAAAGATATTTGATGTACGGTGCAATTGATGTAATACGAGGTGGTACAGTTAACTCTTTTTGAATACCATTTAAATTACAATGTGTAAGATTTGGTATATTCCATATATTATCAAATAAGTTGAAGATGCGTATGTATCTTTCACCGTATTCATTATTGATTATTTCAAGATGAGTAAGATGAAAAAGATATCGACATTGAAATGTTATTTTGACTAATGTGTCAAGAGATTTAATGTAATGCAATGAAAGTGTTTGTAAATGAATAAATTGATTAAGAGTAAAACCTTGTAATAGAATAAGTTCAGATAAATTAGGTGTTTCTTCATTTGAAAGACGAAGTGAAATAATTTTATCAATAAGTAATGGAAGATGTTGTTGACAAATAATATGAAAATCTTCTTTTGATATTGATTGAAAACTAAATTGATTAGTTTGAAAATGAATATAAAGAAGATGATCGAAACGAGAATTAAGTCCAAAAAATGCACGAATAAGATAAGTAGTATCTAAGAATTCAAATAAATCAAGTAGAAGTTCATTAGCCAATGATTCAAATTGCACCATATTTTTTTCTTATCACGATACAAACTGTCTCTTTTGAATGTTTACCTGTGAGAAAGTAAGAAAATTGTGTTTCGTTCTCTTTCTTTTTTATTAAAACGGCTGACTTAAAAACATGCAACAAGTCAAAGTATTTCTTTTCGCTCGTATAGGTGAATATGCATCAAGTCAATCTTTTTCACGGATGAATCATCTCGTTCTTCTTATTAAATGAATTTTTCGTCTCGAGAAAAATTTACCAATATTATCAGAATTTAATGAGTGTACATTGAAATTCTGTTGAATTCTAAGATGCTTACGATAATTTATTTCATCGACATTTTAAAAATTTTAATCAAATGTCGAAATTGAATTCGAAATATTTTACGTATGATGATGAAGAAAGATGAATAATAGCAAGAAACAATTCGAACAAACGAAAAAAAAAAAGAAAGATAAATAATATGATAATGAGACCAATGGCTAACAACAATCTAAATCATCAAAAACGAAATGACATGTGACATATACTTCTATGACTAATAAACGAATTTGTGTACAAGAGGCTACTCCTTATTACTGAATAAACACTATCGAAGAGTGCACACCGGTTTTTTTTCTCTTTGCTTTTGGTAATGTTTTCTCTTGACTCATGTGAGAAACGAAAAAAATAAAGTTTGAAGATCTAATCAACTATAAACAGTTACCGAAGCAACATTTTCGGATGTCAATTCGTTTTCGAGTTGGGACTTAATGAACTATGTTTATCATAACAAGGATTCGTGCTTATGCTCTGTACTGAGGAGATTGAACATTTTTACTGTTACATCTGTAAGATACATCTATATATGTCAGCTTGTACGCGTAATCCATTATCTTAATGACCAGGAGTTCAAAATCAACATGTTAATAAATCATTATTAACATGTTGTAGAGCATAATCGAAAGTGTGTGAAAACATATTTTGTTCCTTTAATAAGTACTTCAAAACGGATCAGATAGTTGGTAACAGAGAAGTCACTAACAGATAAAGAAAATTCCTCTATTTAAACCATGTGTTCACCTACACTATTCACACTGCTACATTCACATCCACCTTTTGTTTTACCAACAAAAAAATTCTGATATCATCAATATATTTAGTTTTGTATATAGATTTTATCATAGGAAAACCCACAGTCAATCACAATCGAACTTTTGACGTTTTGTATCGAGTTAAAGAGATTCGCATTTGTTATTTGAAAGTTATTTAACTCAATTTTGAAACAAAAAAATAGCATTAGACGTATGTAGATGTGGGCGTGAGTTTGTATATACTCATCAGCCCAACCCTGAACAATAGCTTCTTTGTCACAGGTATTGATTGAGTTTAAACTCCATTGTTTTGCTTTGAATTAGAATGGTAGTTTGCTCATTTATTTACTTTTTGTTTGCCAATAATTAATCAATCATTGACAATTTCCTCTAATCATAAATGACAACTACACAGTTAGATCAAACTTAGTCAAAATTTATGAATTTGAAAATGTGACTAAAATGCATCATAGAACTATGTCATTTGTTTGCCCAAAATTAGACGAACAATTAACATCAATATGGTTATTATACAAATTATCCCCAATGTTTTTTTTTCATATGGCACTATATAGACAACAAAAAAAATAACTTTTGCGAATCAAATCACGTTATAATTAAGCTAAGCTTCAATGAACAATATTAAAAATAACATTTCAAAGATTTTCCTTAAATAACTTCTAAACATAATTAACGAAGAATCAATGGCCGAACAACGCTACTGAAAATGCGTAGTAATTTTGAAACCTACGAGAAAAAAAAGCATTAATCATACTATCATTTGATTGACATGTTTCGAACATATCATGAAAAAAGTGTTATATAAGGGTAATTTTTTTTTGATCTGTTGAAATGAATTCAACTGATATGCACATATCCTTTGAAAATTTCTTTCAGATGAATATTTCTCTTATATTTATTCAAAAGTTATTTGGAGAAATCCAACCTTTGGAATTTGTAGGTCTTTTTTACTTTGTCTTTCATTTGCAATGATAAAATAAGTAGATCAAAATTTATTGTATGACGTCCTATAACGAAAATTTTAGGTTCAATCATTAACCAAATTCTTTAAAATTACACTCTTTCTTACATGTGTTTGAAAATCCAGTGAAAATCAATTTTCAAACCTCTATGATAGTACTTTTCCTATGTAATTCAATAGGCTCTATTTATAGAAAACAATAATTAATCTTTGCTTTTATTTGAAATTGTCCGCACCTTACATCTTCTTACAGTTGATGTCATAGTAAAACTACATGAAAATTGACTATGAACTACAGAATCAAAGAAAAAATGTTTCTCTCTAGTTATCTGATCATGACAAGTAAAATTTTTGTTAAATACCAGCACACGTATTGTATTTGACATATCCACATATTGTTTCTATTTTTTTCTTTTTTTGATACTTAATTAAATTTTTCATTCGTATCCAACATATTATTTAATAAAAACATACTTACACACACTACTGAGTGGTATTAAACAGGCTCCAAATAGAAACATCCTAACTTGTTGAAATTATTGTAAAAATTACATAAAACAAATGTCGACTACAACCAATACAATTTACACTTTTGCTACACAACAAATATCTATCTATCTTGGTATACCTATTCTTATCGGTGGAATTCTTGGTGGAATTCTTAATATTATTGTCTTTCTTAGTCTTCAAACATTTCGAGAAAGTTCATGTGCATTTTTTTTAACTATCATGTCATTTGTGAATATTGGACAATTGATAACCGGTTTACTTTCTCGTGTTATGATTTCAGGATTTGGTGTTGATTGGACAGAAACATCAATATTTTATTGCAAATTTAGAATTAGTTGTCTTCAATTTTGTGCATTAACATCCTATACATGTATGTGTTTAGCAACTATCGATCAATTATTGGCTACTTCTCTTCAACCACGTTGGCAACAATGTCTCAATCTTAAGAAAGCTTATCGTTTATGTGCAATATTTTTTGTCATTTGGCTTTTTCATAGTATACCATCATTGATTTGGTATAATCTTAGTCTATCAGTAAGAACAGGAAAAATTGGCTGTGTAATAACAAATTCTATTTTTCAACAATATTTTACCTATGTTTATTTACTAATTCTTGCTGGTATTTTACCAATTATTATTAATATTACATTTGGATCTATAGCATATTGTAATGTCAGACAAATACCTTATCGAACAATACCACTTGTTCGACGAGAATTAGACAAACAATTAACAACTATGGTTCTGGTACAAGTTGTTTTTAAAGTTTTTGTTATTGTACCATATATTACTGTATTATGCGTAATTAATACTGCGAATTTATTAAGTAGTTCAATCAATATTACTCAATTAACTTTTGCTAATTTCGTCACTGGAATAATGTATTATTTATATTTTGCAGTGAGTAAACATGTTTTTAGATATTTATTTAATTGTTTTTTAATATTATAGACTCCATTTTACATATACATTTCTGTATCAAAAAGATTTCGTCAACAATTTATTCATGTCATCTCTATTACTTTTGTTAAACGATGGAAACGTCAAATTGTAGGTATTAATAGAGTGTCAACCGAAGAACAGCAACAATAATTCAACAGGAGAAATTCTCTTGAAAACCAATGATGGTCTCACAATTCTACTTGTCCAAAACAGATTATTACAGAAAAGACATCTGATTCTATCTTCATTTAAATATAGATCCTGTAGTTATACTATACAAAGTTCATTAAATAAAAAAAGGTGATGATTGATGTTGAGTTAATTGAATTCCTTCGTATAATATAATTGAAGTAGGGTTTGGGTGTGAATTTATTCTCTGCATTTACCTATATCCTTGTAAATTTGTTAAACCAGTTCAAATATCAACTATAATCCAAGCAAAATATTTTGATTGGTGTCTACGAATTCATAAATTTGAATAAAGGGCGGAGTTGTATGAATGTGCTAATCTCTATGTCGCCCACACCCATACATACAATCACATCAATAATTATTAATTGAAAATTAACTTAGCAGCATTACGAATTTCTGAGATGATTGACAATATTACGCTCCACTGCAATCGTATAAATCTTACCGATTCAAAATTTTTTCTTGATAGCAAACAAGTACAGAAGACCTTGTAGTCGTCCTCTTTATCATAATAAAATTTTGACGTAACGAGTAAAGCCATTCTTTTTTTCTATTTCACGCATTCGAATCTATAGAAATAGAAAGCAGAAAGTTATCAGTTGTATCTCTCTTTCTATTCATATACCATCATAAGAAAAAGGTGTGCTTTGGATAGTAAAATGAATCAGTTTGTAATGTTCTCAAGTCATTTCAATGTTTTTGCAGGAGATTGATTCTCCCAAATTCTCCTCTGACTGCATCTATTTCGTCATCTCATCATAAACCATAGCTTATTAATTATTTGCTAATAAACAATGCTTTTAGTTTTTATTTTGAAATAAGTGATTTGTATGAGTAATTAGATTGAGATAATAGAAAAGTTGAAAAACAAAGTTAACGATTCAAGAAGCGATAAATTTTTTTGGGTGGGCGTGGGCGTAGAATGAGGAAAGATTCACACTTATGCCCACACTCACACCCTGGATAAAGTGAAGACCCACGCTCGCAATAGTGTTAGAATCGCCATAACTTCACTATTCAGACTTGTTAATTCAGCTTCTCTTCACCTGAGCCTCGGCTTTTGACGTGTTTTTCTCAAGTGTAAAAATAGTTCATTGCTGGCTGCCAACAAAGTACATCATTCGTCGATTGTGTATCCGTCTTCTTCTGCGTAAGAGGAAGTAGCTGGACACAAATATTGTATGCAGACACACCGTCTTTTCACGAAAAAGATGAAAAGAAAGAATGTTCATCAATCAATCTTTTGTTTGGCGTCTATGAACAACTCATGAAATACTGAGAACACTTTACATTTGTTAAAGGATAACGAAGAGGCTCATCAAGTTCGTGACATGACAGTTCCGCGCTCGATACTTTCGCGCAGAGACATTTCCCTCCGTGACACTACCGTACCAATAACTATATGGGGTGCAGGCGTGGACTGCAGGTGTGGGTGTGTAGGCACACACCCGCACTTGAATCTCAACTGATACGCTTTATTCAACCAAGTAAAATCTGTATTGGGTATCGATGTGAGTCTTCTCTTTATCATCCACACTCACACTCACACCCGAATCAAATAGGGTGTGGGTGTGGATGCAGATCACAAAGGTATCGAAATCCACACCCACACTCATACCCACACCCACACACCCACACCCACACCCACACTCTACACCCCACACCCACCACCCACACCCACCCCACACCCACCCACACTCTACACCCACACACGCACACCCACCACACCCACACCCACCCACACCCTCGAAAATAAAAATATCGAAAACAAAAATAATAGAAATGCAGATGGATGTAAATAATGAAAACGAGAGTATATTGAAGTAACAATCTCCCTCACCCTCATCTTCAACTTTACTGGTTCATCTTCATGTCATACTTTTGTTTTCGATATTTTTCCCTTTCGACATTTTTCCTTTCTGCCTTTTTCCATCCATTCGTCGCACTCCCTCACTGTTTCGGAACGGAATTAAATAAATATTCGTTTTCATAGTGTCAGTGAAGAATCTAGGATTTTCAACGACAAGGGCAATTTTGGGTAAAAGCTCCTTTTTAGGGATCATCCAAGATAGTATCAACTCATTTTTCGTTTGTTTTTCGAGACAACCGGGGAAATTGTCTCAAAAGGGGGGAGGGGCGAGGGAGGGAGGGAGGCGATTGCTCTATTGCTTCTCTCGTAAACCCATCACTGCGTAAACCCCCCCTCATAATAAAAGACCCCCCCATATTAGAAGACCCCCCGTTTTAGAAGACCCCTCCGGAGGAGTCACTTCATAGAAATTTCTTTTTTTCACCAGCAAAAATTTACAAAATTTACAAAAGTTCGCTGGACCATAATAGAAGACCCGGGGTCTTTTATTGTAGGGGGGGTTTAGTGTAAAACAGGCCTATCTGTATAATACATATGTACATAGGCGATAGAAAGATATCATACATATACAAATCATAGAATTTCCGTGACTCACGGTCACGGCCATAGCACGACCGTGACCGTGCGTGACCGTTACCAAACTTGTCGTAATCGTGACGTAACCGTAATTAAAAATTGTTGGTCACGCCGATGTCTAGATACCACCTTCTAACCTTTGAAAAAAAATAAGAACAACTTCTTCTCATAAATGGTAAATATCAGACGAACTTTCCTCCGTTTTCGAAAAAAAAATATACTTGACGAGACAAATGAAATAAATTTACTTCGATGAATAACACGCCGATACATCAGTCATTTGTATATGACACATTTTTTATTATTTTCTTCCATATTTGACAGTAACTTCATCTATGCTTTTACCTCTTTATGTCATCTTCCTCTTAACCAGAGAACATAAGTTTTGCATAAAAATAAATTTAAGCGAATTTTTGTATAGATTTTTCTTATAAAGACAATAGTCAATAATATCTTAATAAATCAACCCGAAACTCGACTGATTTTTAACGCTTTTTGGGTGAACTCTGTGAAATATGCTTTCGTTAATAATTTAAATATGTACATATTAGGTATATGCTTTTCATTAAATAGATAACTTTAAGTGTAAACTATTACGATCGTTACGATGATTGTAATGTTCGGGAATTTTGATAAATACTTTTTTATGGAAAAAAATTATTTCTATGTATTTCCTATATATCTATAAAAATTATTACTGTTTAAGTTCTATATTTTCTTATATGCTCTGGACGGATCACTACGAAGCTTGATCATATCGAATTATGTAGAATAGAGACAATCATTAATATTTTACTCATCGATTGAATAATTCATACTTAACAATAGACTGTACTTGCTCGAAAAATACAAATTATTTGCTACATCTGGTATTTTGAGAATATGTTTGCTTTACAACTTTTTCAGTTTGATTAAAATGTTTTTTTCGAAGATGTTTTGAAACATGATTATAGTTCAGTGTTGATAGAAAACTGACTATTTCACACATAGAATAAGTATTAGACAAATAATATTTATTCTACCACTTAAGACAAAGATGGTCTTCTGAGAAAAATTTATTTCTTTGTTTGCCTTCAATACAGCAAAAGTTATTCGTTCGACAAATACATTTGACTTTTTTTCCGTTTGAAAAATACTTTGAAAACGTTCATAATAAGGAAGTTAATACTCTTTGAAGAATGTTCGCATTTGGTAAATGTTTTTAGTCAAACAGAGACCTACCAATTTTAACTTGAGTTTATTGCAGCAACTGAAGATATGGAAAGAATGGATAAAGACAAGTCAATTTTGACATATTTCAATGTTATTTTCATTATAGTACTTTTGTACATTTATAAAATTTTCTCAAATGAAAATGTCAATTATTGTACGAATCATTTTTTTTTCATACAAAAAAAAGCATGCTAGACTTTCAAATATTGATCTATCATATTAACTAAACTCAGGAAACAATCTTTGTTTTACATAATGTAAAAATCAGAATATATAATGGTTCTTTTGTTATTGATCATGTCTTTCAAAAAAAATTCTTAGTTTGACTATCTTCAACCAAAAATTAAACAAACATTATATAAATCAGTAGTCTTGTTTCATAAAAATCATATGTGTTACTTCAATTATTTATTTTTCGATCATTAATCATGGTGTGGGGTGTGTCTGTAGCTATGAAACGAAAAGAAGACCTAAACATCCACACTCACACACACACGCAACTTAAAACAATTATAGATTTGTTGGATATGGTATTCTTGAATTTCATATATTTAATATAAATACGTCCATCATGTTACACATTATTATTATAATACATCAACGACAATTGTTTCACACAGAAAATCTAACTGATTTATCATTGTATATTTATGATTAAAAATTTGTTTTTACACATGATCCTATGCATAATTTGGTTCTTAAAATCTCATGTTTGACAAAAAAATATTCTATATATAATATATGTCTCGTTGCTAAAACTAGCAAAAGTGGTTTCTCAGTAAATATCACGATGTGACTGAATAAAGAGACCTAAGTCTCACTATTCAGTCTCGTTCGAAGTAGCTCTTTATACGAACAAAACAAATTCAAAATGTCATTTGGCTCAAATTTTCATAATGATCATCTCTACGTACTTTATACGGGGGTTGAAAAGATTAACATTTCTTATGAAGAAAGACTAATAAAGGGATATCGATCAAACACTACTAATTTTCAATTGTGTTAATGGCTAGTGACATCCAATGTCCTCAGACCTTCTTCAGCATGCAAGGAGAGAAGAAGACTTTTATTAATGTATATTACACTTAAAGAAACTTTTCTTTCTCTTATCAGTATTATGATATTTGCATAACAATATTTCACTATCAACAACCAACGATCCTATTCAGCGAGAATAACAAAAGCAAGATATTACCAAAGATCATTTACGAAATAATCTCATTAAATGTTAATCAACAATATTCAAACCTTTGAAGAAAATCAAGTACTAGTGCAACAAATCACACGACCCATTCGCTGCATATAAAAGAAAGAATACGTTAATTGAATTATGTGATTTAGTTTAGTTTCTCATTCAATTAATCATACTAATAAATTATTTTATTTATAATAAGACTTTTTCGAGTATGTATACTTTTTCGTGGATTCATAATTATGACTAAAAGGTAAGCCAATTAATAGATAGCGGATCGCGATTTAGAATGTAGGAGTTAATGTTGATCTCACATTTTATTCGTTTCCGAATTACGACCATTTTTTTCTTCTCGAGTAATTCGAAATTTTAAATGAAAATAATATTTTTGAAAAAAACTCTAAATACAGGACATTATTTAAAATTAGTGTCGGCGTTCTCTTATTGTTGTACCAGAGGAGAACTGGACAGTTGGTCACTAGGACATTTAGTCGCATACTTTAACAAAGGAGCAGCATTATATGCAAAAGAGTTGCAAATTATTTATCATACTAGTGAAACTTCTTGTATAGTGCACGACTATTTTCTCTTTTAACGTATGACTTGAGTCGTTTAACTTTTCATTCGGTAACTAACATACAGATACTTGATATTATCTATATAGATAGAAATTCCTACGACTTCAATCTGTTATGTCGCACATATTTTTATAGTCCATGTACCCTTACGACTTTTTGACTTTGCTTCATTGAGGACTTATGAGTACTCCAATAAAGTAGTCTTTGACGTCTTCCCTTTATAACTTTACGTTACCTTTGACTCGGTACAGACACACCGAACATTATATATTATATATATATATCGTTAAATAACCATAATCATTAAATTAGAATCATCAGCTTGAACAATATCGAAATAATTAAATCAATTAGTTTATCACGATAATTATTCTTCCTTACGAGATTAATTTATTGCATGGAGTTAGGGTGATTATTTTATTCAGAATCCTTGTAGAAATTTTGAGACCCTGTATGGAGAGATTGAATTCGTCTTTATCTAACGAAACAGCAAATCTATGGAGAAATATTGAATTTACCGACAAGCAATACGCTCTTTCTGATGATGAACGAGTTCAAATAGAAACGAACGTTTTTTTAAAAACAGTCAACTTACAAATGTATCAATACGTTGACATAGGAACTCTTTAAATGGAAGTTCAGAATATGTTTCGATTGCTAAGTAAAAAACGCGTTCAAAACTGTATTAAACTGATTTCTGAATATCGATAGAAATTGACGAATTATGGCATGAAGCTAATAGAAATTTTTCCATATTTCGATAGAAAAATATGCATTTCTTTTTTTCATCTTTGAAAAAAAGAGGATTACTGATTTCTTCTTTTCGACAATGTTTCTTTACATATTCTCTCTTTCTTATATTTAGAAAAAGTTCTTCTACAGTGACTGAGGAAGTTAAAATTGATTTTAAATTTTACAATATTTATATAAGTGACTATCTCATATTTACTAATTGTATTTTATATGCAATTAAATTCACTGTTTACTTTACAGTACAAATTAGGAGTATCGATCTCTATTTATTTTTTATTAATTTAATCTCTTTTCAAATAATTTCATAATTTTTCTTTGAAAATATTAAAAAGCTAAATTTTTGAAACTAAAATCGAGAATCCTTAATACAAACATTGTCCGAAGTCAAAATACATCGAACTTTTTTTCAATATAAGTAGAAAATTCAACAGTTATGAAATAGATAATTATCATTCAATAGTATCTTCCGTATAAGTTCATCTGATCAATTCTACCTCATAGTAATTAAAAAAACTACTTTGAATGCGTTCAGTGAGAACCAAAGTTCACTATTTCAGGGATATATTCTCTCAGAGCACATATGAATCGTGAAGAAACACGTTCAAGATCATGGAAAGCTTGAGAAAAAAATTCGTTTTTTTGTTTCGAAAGCAAAGCACATTCTATATTGAAGAACATCGGTTCCTCTGAAATGCGACTTAAAACGAAGTTCTTATTAGTATTTTAGAAGGCGTGTTTATCCTTTTTTCCATGAGAACAATTCTCTATTTCTCTATGTTATTTGATCATCGTTCAATAAATATCATAGCCATAAATTTTTGATAAGATTTGGTTCTTTCACATTTGTGATGTTAATTTAAAAATACTTATGTTTTGTCAATAAGTATTGTTGTCAATTATGACCTTTAATTACTTGATAAGAAAAATGTTCGGAATTTAGAAACGAATAAAATATGAGATCACCTTTAACGTTTCCGTTCCGATTTACGACTACGAATGTGTTTATTGGCTAAATTTTTGGTTACAATTAGAACATAGTCTATAAAGTTCAATTAAAATGTGATTTAAGAAATTATTTTTTCTTCTATTTGATGCTGTTAAATATATATTATTTGATATAATGTATCTTATCAAAATTTCAATATCTCACCTGTAAAATGTGATATGTAAAGAATAGTTAAATTATAAGATTTATTGCGACTGTTTCTCTAATGTTTGCAACATCGAAAACCGAAAACCTCATTTCGTATATATCCAAAACTACTTCATTTAACCCTGTGGGGACGGAATTATTTTTCAATTGAAAAATGGTTCTTTCGTCAATTTATTGTATGTGACTCAAAATGCTTACATAAAAGCCTTATGACAATACATCAAGATAAGAAAGAAAGTGATCATGGCGTCAATGTATAGAGCAGAAAGAAAAGACAAGATCTGAAAAGTATCTATATGACAGGAAGAAAGAGAGGAAAGATATGCATGCGATGGTAGCTGGAACGATCTATTACCTTACAGATGGTAATAGTTTTATGAGAAACAAACATTTTCCTTACTGGAAAATAGGTGGTACAACCCTTGTACCACCGGTCCCAAAGGGTTAATGATTGAGCAATTAGTCAAATCATGAATGATTAATCTATAAATTACTGAGACAATCATACAGATCAAGAAGAACTAAAAAATGCCTACATTTTTTCTTGAATTTCTTATCTGAAGATTTCCTCAGAAGCTTTACTGTAGTATAAACATTCGCAAGAGAGAAAAAAAGTCGATCCTGACCGTCAGAATCATATGGAATCGTATGAAATCAAACGTAAAAAATGTCTCTTTATACTAGCCAGTCAGATTTTTCCAACTCACAGTTTTAACCAATCAAATCTTTCCTTACGCAAAGAAGTGTCTAGCCGAAACCATGATGAGAAAAATCTCAAGGTATAATATAATAGTTGAGAGAGAAAGATAATGACATTCATACGGATTCTGTAATCAGCTTCTTCTCATGTATGTTTAATGAAATAACAAACTAAACAAAGCATTTAATTCACTTAATGTAGTCTTTTCCTTATATATGCGAAGAAATAAATAGTCATCAAACGACATAACCGAAACTGCTATGCTTTTCATTTGCTTATAGAATCGGAAAACAATTGATGAAGATTAGTCCTCTAGTCTCATTTGTATTCATATCTACATGGACAATAACCAGTTATCTGGTGAATGGATACGTTTGGAACGAGTCAGTCAGATCGATAAGCAAGCGCTATGTCGAGGATCCGCCTCCTAATCCTCCAAAATATCCTCCAAGATGGACAGCAACGGCATTTTTCGAATTTGTCAATGCATCGAATAGTTCGCCTGCTGGTGCTGGTATCTTATATCAGTTAATCGATTCAATCAATCAAAAATTTCGAGCCGATGATTTCTATTTTGCTGGAACATTTCCTTTTCCCTATGATACTTTTTTTTCATCAACAGACTCTCTCAACAAGTATCAATACTATGCCAGTCTTACACCAAATGGAATATCCTGTGTTATATATCCAGGAAATCCTGCCACACTCTCACAAAATTGGATTGCAGAGTTATGTTCATATAATTCGACACTATATTATCAGACAACCAAAGCTTATAGATGGAATTGTGCAACAGACGTTGTAACTTGGTTTACCGATACAGCAGCTAATGATGGACGTCTCATTTATCAACATACAATTCCACAGCCATTATTTGATGTATATCAGTATTTATGGTTTACAAACTATACGGTTGTTGAAGAAGAATTCGATCCAAGCATCTTCATTCCACCGAAAGGATGGAATTGTCCAGATTATAAACTGCCCAATCCGGAAAGCATATCTTTTGCATAACACTCTTATTGGTTCCTATACTATTATGCGCTCTTAATTACAATTATATTAGCTAACTTCTGCGTTTATTGCGAGCTTCATTTTGTATTCATAAATAAATGAATTCATTGAGATTCAATGATTTTCTGGAAAGGTGACTGAACTTTTTTTCGTACAAAAAAGGGTCAAATCTTTCGATGCCATTATACGAATAATAGATAGCATTTAGGAGAAGTACCTTATGGGTGAGCAAGAGCGAACTAGAATTTGCTGCATCCTCAGACTCATTCACCTGCATTCTTATTCATCCACTCTGTTTCAATGAAGTTTGCCGGTGTTGAAAAAGAAAGCAATTATAATATTGGCACATTCAAATGGGGCTCAGTTGTCTCCTGCCGGACTTTTTCTTACGAAGATGTAGATGTTCTATCCTTTTACCCGCATCCATACCCTTGCTTTCATAAATGAATGAACTTCCAAAGATTTTTGTATCTCGAAAAATTAGTTTTAGTGTGAAAAAGCTAGTTAGGGTGTAGGTGTGGGTGGGATGTTGGTGTGGCTCAAAGGGCAACAGCACGGACACTCACACCCACACCCCACACCCACACCCACACCCTTACTTACTGTCTTTCAAAAGCTTTCGTTTGCAAATGATCGTGCGTATAATAGCAGTGATACATCCACTATTATCGCCTTCTTTATTGTTTTTAATATGGACGATCGGTAAGAGTGTAGACTCAATCAGAAAGCCTTGTCTTCAAAAATAAAAAAAAGAATAATGATCATTAGTCAATATAGAAAAAAAGAGTTATTGAAGTGCGGTATTGTTCTTCACCCAGTTGGCAGAACCGCTTACGTCGTCTATCAGTTGTTCCAACTGTCGGAGACTGTCAGGCGTACGGTAATAGTCTTCCACACTCTTTTCATAACTGTCGATAAGAAGACGGACATAGGTTGTGGGTAGGTCGGTTACCATCATTATATTTTCCTGTACTCTTCCATTCGGCTCGACCGAAATGTCTCGTTCATGTCTGTATTCGTCTTTGAACGAAAAGAAATCAATTTCGTAAAACTTGCGCAACAGTTTCACCACATCATCGACTGAAATTTGCTTTTTCTGTTGTCCTTTGATTTTGACAAACTCACGTCCCTCGTAAATTACCGATCCATCGCCATGAATCATCAGCGAATAAACAGGACACATGCCAAAACAAGCAGTACGTTCTAATGAGATCGTAACATTATTCAGGAAATATTCTTTTGGCGGTTGTTTTAGTTCCTGTTGATTACTACCGACAATAATGCAAGTAATTGTCAGAAAAATACAGAGCAAGTTCATTTTTGTAATAAGTAGTGATGTGATGAAATATTTTCTAAAACGTGCAAAATAAACGACACCCAATATTGCTGATATTATTCTTTTTGTAATGTGATCTTTTGTTGACGTGATTTCGTACACGTTCTTTTACGTGATCTTTTCTCATTAATCTCAAACATAGTCCATAAACGATAAAATCTCGCATATGCAAATCGTACCGATTGGATCAAATAAATCACTTTTTTTCATTTTGATCCATTTATCAAAGTAAAAGAACATGAAAAGTAACAGATAGGCAAACGAACAAGTTACTCATTTTGACTAATATACCGACATTTCTCACTGTAGAATATACGAATTTTTAAGATTTTTTTGTATTATTACAATAGCATACATATTAAAATTGAAGCTTGAACTTTCAACTTGCAACATTCAATGAAGAGTATTAGGCATTTTACTCGTACACAAGCCTACTCGCAACCAAAGGAAATCTTTTTAGACAGGTCTAGATTAATTCAAAGAACATCTAACAGATTAATATACAAAATTGAAAAGTCAATTAAGTTTATGTTTGAAGCGAGTCTTAACTTTATGTTTTATTTCTTCGAATACGTTTATTCATGGAAAATATTTTATATGGTGTATTCGTTCAAAAATATATCAGCTTCTCAAACCATATGAAATTTCATGTAAGAATTTCAAAAAAAATTGAATGAAAAAAAATCAATATTAACTACAACTATTTAATAAACATCTGGGAATTGTCTTTGTTTTTTTATAATTAAAGTCCGAAAACTTTTTCATCAGTTTCATTATAAATGGACAATTTTTCACTGATTAGTATTACTTCTTGACATCATTATTTTATAAGATAGTTATGATCAATACTCTAATTCTGCAGGTTCGAAAAATGCTTTAAATGTGCAAAACGATAGACAATCGTTGCTATGAAAAATGTTTATGTTATCAGCATATTATTAATTGTTCACTAATCGCGTTATTTCTAATGAACAATACAAAGTTGTAATCGGTAGAATTTTTCCTTACCGGTACCGGTTTAACCGATCAGATCGCACCGGACCAGCCGATGTACTAGTACAGAGAGCGAATCGACCTGACTTTTCTGAATCAAGTTCGGTTCGAGTTCGGTTATGTTCGAGTTTATTTTTGAAAAATTGATTCGGGTTCGGTTCGGTTTGACTCGTCTTTAAAAGATCAGTTTGGGTTCGGTTCAATTCGAGTAGCATTAGTTCCACCTGATCACAAGTACACCACAGGTGAAAACTTATTGCTCAGACGATCAACAGCGTCACATTAGAGCCTATATTTGCATGAATTACCCGTAATTCATATATTTGTGGGTCAAAATTAATTTTAAATATTAATACATAAGAATCAACAGTGTTTTAGTGTTGATATTAATCTCACATTACCATCCACGATTATTCATTACACTTTAGAAAAATAGCAAATTTACGAAAGAAAAGAAGAAAAGAATTATGTCACATAGAAGTAATTCATCATCATAAACAGAATTAATGCAACTCCTATGAGGAGAACAAAAAAGAGTGCTATACACGGAAATTAAATTAAGCATCTAAAACAAACGATAGAAGTTCGTTTTATCTTCACCGACGCCATGATCTTTCTCAGATCAACGATAGTTCAATCAATCGTTTTTTATTTAATGTTAGACTGCGTTGAACTATTTCTCAGAAAATTAGCTCAAGTTCGGTTCGAACCAAGTTGAACTGAACCGTTATAGATCGATTCGTTTTCGCTCTCTGTACCAGTACAAGTCATTCTTCTGTTTTCTGACCATTTAACAAACAAAATAACCCTTGGATGAGTCATATCTTTCTTCTAATCACTACAGCTATGATATAAAAGTACTCTTCCGCCATATTACAGTGCTTTTTACTATTTGCTTTCATATGTTTTTTGTTTCTCGATATCTATTGGTGGACAGAACACTTCATACGACTATAAATTCTATGTTAATTTTTCAATTTGATTAACGATTCCTCAGATATGGGCACTATTAATTACTCGTATACTTAATTTACCTTGCATACTATACTCGCTTTGTCATCTTTCATATCTGCGAGAAATATATGCAATAGATAGTAGGAAATACAAATAAACTTATGACAAACTACAATGCTAAACACTTATTCGATTTTGTTTGAACAACAGAACGTCATACTCACGTACCGTGAAGAACTATCGTATAAGCAGGTGGACATGTAGTTTCTTTGCTTAGGAATGGCTCCCATTTGACTGGAAATGATAGTATACCATTTAGAAAATCGTTTTTAAGAAAAAAATTTTAAAAAAATATGGCTGAGGAACCTCAGCCTTGTTTTTTTCGAAAAATGGTTTTTTTTTTTAAACATGTTGAACTACATATGATTTGATGTAGTTTGATGCGCTGATTTCGAATATTATCTTAGTTTTTCTTCAAAGTGCAGTATGAATGCCTAAAACTGGATTTTTCGGTCAAAAATCTGTATCAGTCGTTTTCCGTCAAATTCCACCAAAAAATGACTCTTTTTATATATGGTCTGATGCAGCTTGAAGAGCTGATTCTGAATATCGCCTTAGTTTTCTTTCAAAGCCTATTACAGATGTCTAAAATCGAATTTCTGTCTGGTGACCTCGCTTTTTTGGGCACCCTCAAAAATAGTCTAGGAAAGGTATCATGAGTTTGCGCTACTACCATAATTAGGATACATATGAATGTATACGTGGTAAGAATACGCGCTTGATTAAATGTGATCTCTTTGTAGAACTTTTAATATACGAAACGGTAGGTTTTCATTATAGAGACTCCTTGTTTTCTATTCTATTTTAAATTGAGTTACGATAATTTTTTTACCATAAAGTCCATAGGTGAGCAAACTTTTTGCGATACTTTTCGACGTGGATTATTGTGTTATATTGTCGAGCGACTTGACTTTCCTTATTTATGCTGATTTCTGGGCCCAAGTCTTGGCAGGCTCTTTTCTTGAGCTCTATATAACTTTGAGAATCGCTATTTTAGGAAATGATAGATCACATATGCATGTATCTACAAAAATGGTTAGATTCTGTAAAAGAATAATTTCTTATAGGTCTGTCTGGCTTCCCACTGTGAGGAGATATTCGAGTTTTACTGTACTTAGAGTGTATGTAGGATGCCTACAATTCAAAATTTCAGCAGAATTTGTTTTTTTTGTGATGGTTGGATAGAGGTCATCGAGTTGCATTAGAAAAAGTGCGCTTCAAACTTTAAAAAAACATTCTAAAAAAATTTTCTGAAAGGTCGGAAGTTGGAGTCTATTTTCCCTTTTATTTGAAAATAAGTGCAACTTGGACTCTTCGTCTAAAACTTTTTAAAAAATCTTTTTTTAAAAGTTTGAAGCATACTTTTTCTAATGTAACTCGACGAACTCTATCCAATCATCACAAAAAAAGAAGAAATAAATTCTGCTGAAATTTTTGAATTGTAGACATCCTACATACACTGTAAATACAATAAAACTTGAATATCTCCCTCTAGGCAAGCCAAGGGCCGCTAATATTTTAACCTTATTAGTTTGGTGATGAGAGCTTCCATTTGACTCGAATATGTCAATTTTTTTATTATCAACACAAACATCTCCATTGTCGATGCGACCTGCTTATGAACCCAATATGAGTTCAAATGGCGGGTATCACCTCTGATGGTTCCCGCGTCAGTGTTTGTAAAACTGACCGTTAGTTGCAATAATGCACTTGGAGAACGTTATTGTCGACCTTAGAAAAATAATAGTTTTTTGCAGATTTTAGTCGACAGGGATATCTATTAATAAATAAAACATCGATAAAAATAACCATTCTCGAGAATAACCGGTAATATAAGTACTCACATATTGGATTTATTTCGATTTTTAACAGTATTTGCTATAATGCGAGTATTTTATGTTGTTGGTATCCAACTAAATTGTGCTCCAATATATGTAGCTTTTGGCTTTAACAATAAGATGCTGTGAAGCTTTGCACATGACTTTATCACAAACGAGATACAAAGTTTGCACAAGATAATATGTGAGCGCTTGTGAGAAAATGAGCAAATGTTGTTATTGTTTTTGCAACATTGAAGAACGTTCTCCTCCTCACGCTTACCTCCAAGATACCAATACGTTTGAATTAAAATGTAACGCAGTTTGTTTCTCGGATTTAGATTTAAATTGGGAATATTATTTGTGATCAGTAAAATAAATGAAATGATCAGTAAATTAAATGGATGATCAATAATTAAATGAAGGATCAATAAGTTATTTGAAAGATCAGTTATTAAAATGATTCGGTTTTTATATAAATTTAAAAATTAATAAATAAAAATTTATTAACAGTCGATTATATTAGGGTGTGGGTGTGGGTGTGGATACAGATCACAAAGGTATCGAAACCCACACCACGCACCCACATCCCACATCCTAACAACGATTTGAAAAATTAGACTTAAGTTCAAACGATAAAATACAAATAAAGCACAACACAGTAAATCAGAAGCCATAAAATAAAAAAACAATAAAACGAAGATAAAAATAAATAACATAAAATAAAAAATTTATATTCACTGTTGATTGCTTTTATCCTACACCAAAATCTAAAAGAAAAGAAAAGAAAGTAAAACCAACAAAATAAACTAAATGAAATAAACGACGGGCCTTTTACACTACAGTGCCTCAAGATATTTGTTTGATCACAAAGCAAGCAAGTATAAAAATACCTAAAAGAAAACAAAAGAAAAGAAAAATTAAATCAAATTATAATCAAGTATCTCTAGATATTTTTCTAGCATTGAATTTCGTCGAATCTAACGTGAGAAATTCACGGATAATAATGACTTGCGACAGTCGAATCCGATAGAGTGAATTTGACCTGAATAACATTTCCGATATGCTGTTGTTTATAGCACAGTGAAGCTAACTAGACAATCAAATCTTATTAAGAGTTCTTTTCCAGCACATGCTCGTGTTTTTGCAAGATATTTGTGGACTACTCAGTATGTAAAGACACATATAAACAACAAGAGTTAATGACATTTGAGTGCTTGGACAAAATCTTTTGTTCTGCATGTAAAGCAACCATTCCATTAAATAGTATCATTTGCAAGTTTACTGAATGAGAAGGAAGATTGGAAAAACAAGGTACATATTAAAAAAAGAACACAAGAATAAAATGAGTATTGTATCATCTTTCTCCTCACTGGACCGAATACGATGTTACTCGCAGAGAATCATGATTATATGTCGTTTGGATTACAGTATGTCACGCCTTATTAACAATAAAAAAAATACTGAAATGATCATGCGTAAAATGTAGACTAAACGAGCAATGATGCAAATGTCAATAGTTGGTTAAACGTGTGTTAAATCTATCATTTGAGTGTGACATCATCATAGTATTAATAATGCTAAGTCTTCTTCATTTCATATGTTTTTTTTTGTGAATTTGCTGGATTTCAATCGATTTTTTATGATACAGATCCTTTTCACTTTGATTGTTTGCATTACTTTTCAATCCATTCATATATTCCCGATATAATCAAGTATTGTATTCGTCCAACCGATAATGAGAATCCGAGGATGATCGATTTTTTCAACATGAGTCATCAAAATTTTACTTTTGACGAATTACATCGTTTGAATGTGACTTCACATGAAGTCCTCTTATGGTCATCTTCAATCGATCTTGCTGAACGATATCAATATTATATCGATCAACCGACTAAATCTATTCGATTGAATGAACAATTCTTCAATTGCACACCACCATGGTTCGGATCTCATTGTCAGTATTCATTCGAATTAGTGTCAAAATTTGCCGAAACAACATTAAATATTCAGTGGAAATCTCATATGACTTACGCTATCACTCATCGAACATGTTACATTCTGCTAGAATGTGATCGTGGTGCTGCATCAATGTGCCTCGATTGGCGTGAAATATGTGACGGTCAAATTGATTGTTTCAATGATGGTATTGATGAAAGTCAATGTTTGTTTCGAATTAGAAATTAATGAATGTAATGAAAACGAACGTCGATGTCATAATGGATTATGCATTCCGAAAACGTTTTGGAACAACGACGTTGATGAGGCCGAATGTCTTGATAAATCAGATTTATTGGTTATGCCTGGTTGTCCGGATATGTATCTCCAATTTAGTATTTTTGACTATGCAGAATATGCATGTCGACCCGATGAAGGTCGATTTCCATGTGGCAATGGACAATGTGTAGAAGATTTTGGTGAATGTTACAATGGACGGCATCTCCTGTTGACTGAATCAGTTAGTGTTCAAGGTAATCTGTCACACGATTGCTGGATAGCTATGGTTTGTCTTAGTAAAATCACCAATCAAGTCAATGAAGTATCATGTGAACAATTTGTTAACCTGTCTCAGATTCTTCCTCGACTAGAGACTTGTGAATATCCTATTCAATTTCCAACTCTTCCTGTGCTCTTAGGTCATGTGCACTTTTTATACCATCCTAAACAGATTTTCAATATCAGTATCAAATTAGCTCTTGTACCCGATTATGTTTGTTATGATGAACAGTTATGTGATTTTCTCACACCTACATTTCATTATGGAAACTTGACTTGCCGATATGGTCATGAAATGAATCTTGGCTCAGATGTCGAGGTGAATGATTGGAAATCGATCATCGATTTAGTCAAACCTCATTTCCGTGGTTGCATCACTCGACATTATCACGATATTGCTACGCATTATTCATTGTTGTATGCGTGCAAGAATTCTTCAAAATACATTTCAAAACATCGACTCACTGATGGTATCTCCGATTGTTTTTTGAATGATGATGAACAAGTATTTGAATTGAATTGTTCGTTGGATCATCCGTATCGATTCAAATGTTTTAGTGATACTCAGTGTCAACCGACTTCATTGCTAGCAGATGTCTGTCAGTTTGAAACGCAGAAAAATTTCGATGAGATCTTATTTTATGAACTTTGTGATCGAGCCATCGATCTTTCCCCGATGATAATCAATGAACGAAATCATTCGGATGAGACTGATTGTGAACATTGGCCATGCAACAATATCTACACACGATGTGATAGTTTTTGGAGTTGTAAATATGGAGACGATGAAGAAAATTGTACACGTTCGATTTGTCCTAAACAATTTCTTCCCTGTATTTCGCCATATAATTCAACATTAATTTGTTTACCAGCCAGCCAAGTTGGTGATAGAATCATTGATTGTCTTGGGGCATCCGATGAACTTGAATATTGTCGAAAGAACTTTGGCAATCTTCAAACTTACGAATTTTATTGTCAGAATGATACGAAATGTATCGAACACGAGAAGCTGTGTGATGGTGTTGAAGATTGTCTATTCGGTGAGGATGAAAAATTTTGTGACAATCGTCCACAACTATGTGAAGAATCGAATTTTGATCATCTAACAGATGTAGAATATGTTTTATGTCGAATTGGTTCTATACATAGGATTTCTTTTTCATTAAAAACTTCATCAATCTATCCGCTATCGTCGATTGTTCAAATTGATTCTGTCAATAATCAATGGAATGAGCAACACATAAAATCTTCACTTGATGAGTTTCCACAATCCGACATTTATCATTATGGTCTCCATATTTACCATCGACTCGAACCTGGCAACATTAGTGATGTATGCTTTTGTCCACCAAATTATTATGGCGAATGGTGTCAATATCAAAATCAGCGTGTCAGTTTGACTCTCATATTGGGATTTGTCAAGCGCCAGATAATATATGCCATTGTTGTTACTTTAATTGAAGATGACGATGATCGTCAAGAAATTCATTCATATTATCAATCGACTCCATTGTCGTTATTTAAATGCGGCCGGCATCTCAACATCTATCTGTTGTATTCCGTTCGACCGAAGAACAATTCAAAAAATTACAGTATCTGTATCGATATATTCGACAAGAGTTTATTGACCTATCTGGCGAGTTGGCATTTAAAAATTCCATTTGTATTTTTGCCGGTTAACCGACTAGCCAGCTTTTTGACTCTACCAGCTTATCGAACATTGCATTCTGGTCACTGTCCTCTTCAGTGTTACAAAGGTACTTGTATGAAATATCTCAATGAAGAACGATTTTTTTGTCGGTGCTGTTCTGGTTGGTCTGGTGCACAATGTCACATTCCGATCGATTGTAATAGCTGTTCGCCAACTTCGATCTGTGTTGGTTCGATTCGAAATCGATCTATCTGTGTTTGCCCTATTGGCAAGTTTAGTTCACGTTGTCTCCTCGAACAATCATGTCCGAAAAACTTTTGTGGAAATAATGGTCAATGTATTGTGATTGATGAGAGAATGATTGACGACAGCTTTATATGCATTTGTCCCAAACCATTTTTCGGCAAAAGATGTCAAGAAATCAAAGCGAAAATAGAAGTTTCCTTTCAAAATATCGAAGTTCCATTGTATCTATTCTGAAATTGATTATAAACAACCGAAACCAACATTTATCATACTTGAGAAAGTGAAAATGTTTCAGAACATTGTAACGTTCTATTCTCTGATTGGGTTTTATATAGTTGTTCTCATGATCGATGCTAGTTATTATTTGGCTGTTCTTCAGCAAATCGAATCATTGAACATATCAACAACGGTCGGTCCTGCTCAACGATGTGTTCCGTTTCAAGAACTGTTCAGTTATGAATTACTTGCATTACCACGGATTCATCGATTGAAAAGTTATCATCTTCCATGTCAAAATAATGTTGATTTACAATGTTTTATCAATGAATCAGACATGTGTCTATGTACTGTAGAACATCAGAGTAACTGTTTTTTATTCGATTTTAATACGACTTTCGTGTGTCAAGACGATGTTTATTATGAGAATGGTGGAATATGTTTGCAAGATCGATCGCCATGTCCGGAGAGTATTCTATGTGTATGTACCGATTGTTTTTTCGGTGACCGTTGCCAATTTTATACCAAAGGTATCGGATTGACATTGGACGATATGCTGCGCTATGCTATTCGACCAAATTTAACTTTCAACGATCAATCAATCGTCATTATATTGAGTGCAGCTATCATTATGATCATATTTGTAGCTGGCTTGTTGAATAGTCTTCTCGCTTATTTGGTATTTCATCATCAAAATTCTCGTAAAGTCGGTTCTGGCATGTATCTTCATCTATCATCAATCGTTTCTGGTCTTCTTGTTAGTATGTTGACTATCAAATTCTGGTTCGTGGTATTTACTCATATTGATCAATCAATCAATCGCCGTGTTCTTCATGAAGGATGTGTATTATTCCAGATAACTCTCAAACTTTTCTTACATATGAGCAATTGGCTCCATGCTTGCGTAGCCATTGAGCGAGTGATAGCAGTTTTTAAAGGAATTAAATTTGATAAGAGACAGAGCAAATGCATTGCACGATGGACACTTCGATTTTTACCATTCATCATTTTGGGTTCGATGAGTCATGAGTTCATCTACCGTGGTTTGTTCGATGATTACGAGGAGCAACATGTTTGGTGTGTATTTCGTTATTCTCAGTCGATTGAAAAATATAGTACAACCATCCAAATTTTCCATTTTATTGCTCCATTTTTTACTAATTTATTCTCTGCTCTTTTCATTATATTCACCATGACTCGTCAACGAGCATTGACACAAACTCGACAAAGTTATCAACAACAAGTACTTGAACAATTCCATGAGCACAAACAACTTGTTATCAGTCCCATTGTGTTAGTCCTTCTGTCATTTCCTCGATTTCTAATCTCATTATTTTCGGGATGTACGAAAGTGTCTCGAAATCCCTGGTTATATCTGTCAGGCTACTTT